TATTTAGACAGCAATGAGATTAGAGTACATGAGCATATATGGATTGTTTTGTTTTATTTTATATGTATTCTATAAAAGTGAATATTATTAATTGGATCTATTTTTCACGTATTACCTACTATCATGGTCAATAATTGTTTTTATTTATTGATTTATTATGATTACATTATCAGAAATGGAAACTTAGAACATTTGATAGAGATATTATTTTAGCTATTTCCTTTTTTACTTTTGGGGATTTTTCCAAATAGGTATCTGTCTTATTCAAAAAGAAAGTTTAATGTAACTTGTATGAAAATCGGTTTATTTTCATGATAGGTACAAGGCAGTAAAGTTAATATTTTAATCTGAGTTATATTTCCGGAAGAAGTTTATTTATAAATATGTACTTATCTTTTCCGAAGAGATAATAGTTGTATTTACACATCTATGTTAGGTATCAAAAAAATGAATAATTTTGTATTTAATTTTGATGAGTTAAGGCCCCAAAAACAAAGTATTATTTCAATAAAACTTTTTTGTTTTTCAAAAATAACTGTTTTGACTTTTAAGAGATGTCTAGTTACTTTATCAGTCAATGAAACGGAAATATTAAAATAAAAAAATGAAACACATTGTAAGTGAGTTATGTAAAACAATGCCGGTAGCTTTTACACGATAGGTACATTTGATAATTATTGTCGATTGTGTAGTTATCAAGATATGTATTACGAAATCGATTTAAGCCATTAAACCTGTAAAATACCTTTGAACACTTAATTGACGACACAAGCAAAATTTTTTAGCAAGTAAAGGTCTGTTAGAAATTGCTAGCAAATGGTTTGTACGTGCATTTATATTTGCAATTTTTATAGTTTTAATTTTTTAAGATTGTAATTTATTTTACTATTAATATTATGGAAATTTTGTAATAAATACCTAAAAATCCCTTGTATAGTTCGGATTCAGCCTATTCTTATTACATATTCTGGCTATAGGCCTGGAGTAGACTGATAAAAATCTCGTTGAATATCCCACAATGATTGATAAAGAATATAATAAGATGTTTTCCTGTAGATTAATCCAAAAGCGTATTATTGACAATTTTACGAATCAAGTAGGAATTACTCCTAATCTGGATGTGTAGGTACTAAGATAACGTGTATTTTTTTCGTGTTAGTGTTTAGTTTCATTTCCATTTAGAAAACTCTACATATAAATAATTGCTTTGTCCAATTAAAACACGATTGTTCACAATAGGTACCTGATAAATAATAGGTGATAACGAAATGGAAAATAAAGTTGATAACAATATCTAAGGTATTACCTACTATAAGTTCTTTTCAATATTTCGTTCAGTTAGTTTGTGAAGTTCATTTGTTTCATTATTTGTTTCGTATTTTTGTGGTTGAAAAGATGGTCGATGCTAGTTTTAGTCATGATATTAGCTCTCATCATGAATTCATGCAAGAATTGAAAACTTATGAATGGTATAAATCCGTAAGTAATATTGAAAGTGTGTAATAATATGTACTATTGAAGCATAATTTGTATGTATGAATGGATTGAATAGAACTCTTTAATAACGTGTACTATTATCCTATAACTATAAAATTTCGAATTTAATTGTTTGAATATTATGTAAAAGTGAAACAGGTGTGGTACAACGATTATTACCGCAGATTTTTGCGATAACTTATCAAATCGTTTGAAAACAGTTTTCTATGAATAAAATTTGATAACTGTTACGATTAAATAGTCTCTCGTTCGTAATGATTACACATACGTGAATATTTTTTTTTTTGAGAATTTTTAAAAAAATACTAAGGAAAACCTTTTTTTTTTTTTCGCAGATTGATAAAAATAACGATGGGTACATTGATCTTAAAGAACTTAAAGTGGCACTGGACGTTTGTGGATTCAAAATCCCCGGATGGAAGGTGAGACAAATGGAAGAAGAATTAAAAAATAAAAGGACCGTTACAGAAGGAAAATTATCCTACACAGAATTCGAGAATCTTTGCAGTGATTTAAAAGCCAGCGAGGTTGCTAGCACTTTTAAACAAGTCGTCCAAAAACGAGAGAACCTCCAGCATTTAGGAGGCACCTCAGAAGCATCAAATGAAGGAACAACGCATTCGGTTCGTGTAGAAGAACAACTCGCCTTTTCCGATTGGATTAATTCAAACCTCAAGTTTGATCCGGATCTTCAGCATCTTCTTCCAATAGACTCTGATGGAAAATTGTTATACGATAAAGTAAAAGACGGAATTCTATTATGGTAAATGTCCAAAACTAAAATTCTCACAAACGGACGTATTTCTAATTTAATTTTTTCTTTTCCAGTAAAGTTATCAACCATTCCTGCCCAGATACTATCGACGAAAGAGCGATTAACAAAAAAAATCTAACGCTCTATCGTAAATTAGAAAACTTAACACTGGCATTATCTTCTGCTCAAGCCATCGGTTGTAACGTAGTTAATATAGACGCTCACAGTCTGGAGAAAGGGACTCCTCATCTGGTATTAGGACTTCTTTGGCAAATCATTCGAATAGGACTGTTCAATCAGATAACATTGGAGCATTGTCCTGGCTTAACATCTTTACTTACTGACGAAGAGAAGATTGAAGATTTAATGAAACTTTCTCCCGAAAATATTTTGCTTCGATGGGTCAATTATCATCTTGAACAAGCCGGAACGCCAAGAAGAATAACTAACTTCCAAAGCGACGTTACCGATTCAGAAGTTTACACGTACTTATTAAAACAAATTGCGCCACAAGAAGCAGAAGTTAATGTTGATGCTTTAACGGTAATTTAGTAGGTTTTGTTTATGTCTAGTATCTAGTTAATCTTTTTAAAATCCTGTAGGAAAAAGACCTTTTGGAAAGAGCAGAAATCATGTTACAACAAGCTGCAAAACTAAAGTGTCGTTCGTTCGTCACTCCTCAGGATGTAGTTAATGGTGTTTACAAATTGAATTTGGCATTTGTTGCCAATCTTTTCAATAATCATCCTGGATTAAATAGAGAAAACGGCGTCTTAGATTATGAAACTGTCGAAGAGACAAGAGAAGAGAAAAGTAAGCTAATAAGCACTTGAAGTTGTTATTTGTTGTGTGACAATTTTCACTATTAATGGTCGAAATGTACACAATTTGATTATGTCTTATTGCAGCATACAGAAACTGGATAAATTCAATGGGTGTTTCACCCCATGTGAATTGGCTCTATTCTGACTTGGCAGATGGTTTGGTAATCTTTCAACTTTATGACGTTATTAAGCCAGGTATAGTTAATTGGAACAAGGTTCATAGGAAATTTAGCAACCTTAGGAAATTCATGGAAAAATTGGAAAACTGCAACTATGCTGTCGAATTGGGTCGCGAAATCAAGTTCTCCCTCGTGGGTATTGCTGGCCAGGACATTCAAGAAGGAAATGTTACACTCACTTTGGCCTTAATCTGGCAGTTGATGCGAGCTTATACTCTTTCCATTCTATCCCAGCTTGCACAAACAGGAAATCCGATTGTCGAGAAGGAGATTGTACAGTGGGTGAATAAAAAATTAGAGTCTGCTGGAAAGAAATCTTCCATTAATAATTTCCAAGACCCTGCCATTGCCGACGCCAGAGTTGTTATTGACCTAATTGATGCGATTAAGCCTCGCGCTATTAATTACGAACTTGTTAAAACAGGGGGAAACCCAGAAGTAAGTAAACATTTACTCGACTTGTTTATTAATCGATTTTTATTTGATCGTTTGCCGTTAGGACAATTTGGCTAACGCCAAGTATGCTATATCGATGGCCCGTAAGGCTGGAGCAAGGGTGTACGCACTTCCGGAAGACATAACTGAGGTAAAGCCGAGAATGGTTATGACAGTCTTTGCATGCCTTATGGCACTCGACTATGTGCCTAATATGGATAGCGTTCAAAATTAGATGAAAAACTCAACACAAACACAAACAGTCTGTTTTTGTACATTTATTTTAGTTTCTGTGTTGAATTTATTTGGGAAAACTCTGTGATCACATAACGACAACATTCCAAAATTAATTCCATAGGCATAATTAATTATTCGATTTAGTAAGCATTTTTACATTTTTAACAGAAAGAAAACATTCCAGATAGGTGCAATAATTTTATGACTAGTACCAAAATATTCCATTTAATACATATAATGTTTGGTTGATCTAAAATTATCACTAAATATTATCTTTTTTTAAATTAATCAATTCATTCCTTATATTGTATTAATTAATTATTTACTATTCATTAAGAATATCTTTTATTTTTATATGTATGTAGATATTTTATATTTANCATCTAATTTTAGAAGTTAATTAATTTCATTTTGAGATTTACGTACTAGATTTTACAGCAGTTATAATTGTTTTGCCTTTACATTTCTATTAGATTATTTTTAACTAAATAAATCATCGCCTATAAACTAATATCATTTTTAAATTTGCAAACCTTTCTCAAACAAACTGGTTAGGGGTGCCTTACAATATTTTTGATTTTATTTAATGTATGTGTTTGATAAATATCAATTCATTTACTATAATGTGAGAGAAAGTTACTGTGTATTTTCATTAAAAAAAAAAGAATTTCTTTCCATAAAATCAATTAAGTTGAAGTCAAAATTATAAAACAAAGCTTAAAAGCCCACCTAACATCAATTTCACAAAATAAAAATTGTATTGCTGATGCTGTATGTATACTACGTATATTATTTCAAATTTGAAGTTTGTAGCGCCAAAATTTTATAATGGCGCCATCTAGTAGAAAGTGGTAACATGAAATGTACAATACATATATGTTAGTATAGTTTTCTATCACGTTTTCATTAAAAAAAATTGACAACCATCAGTTGACAGAACGTATATAAT